GTGTTGCGGAAGAAGTTGGGAAGCAATGAAAATTGAAGGAAAATCCCAAAGTTGAATACTTTTTATCTAGTATTGAGAAATTAATTTCTCCGAAAAGTTGAAAAAAATACTTGTTTTCAATTTTTTTTGTGAGAACACAGTATTTCATGAAAACACTTTCAATTTTTTTAGATAAGAGACCTCAAGGGGTACCANAAATTATTTTGTGCTTTTGAAATATGACATTTCTCCTTTATTATTGACGTGTTTCTGAGACAAGTGTTTCTCGGTATTGATTATACGAGGTCTATTAAAAAATTCGATAAGCAACTTTTTTTAATTTTTTATGTTAGTACAGTTATTACTTGAGTTTTTTTCATGTTCGACGATTTTCTGCTATTGGAAAAAAGTGATCCAGAGAATTTGAATCAAAATTTGGAATTAAGAGCTCAAAAACACTTGAAATATTGACAGTGGCATACGGTGATTGTACCCTGAGTCAGAAAAGCACGCCAAGTTCGATCAGCAATGATGTAGATATGTATCAAATAATCATAAAAGGTTCCTCATTCGAAGTTCATTGTAGAAAACGCTCAGAGCAATGGAAAAATATGAATAGGTACCTAAAACTGAAAAAAAAAACTCTATGGATACATAGGAAGACGGTGAAAGTTGCTATTATGTTTTTATTCATCTCAGTCAACCAATTTCCAGGTCCGTAATTTAAAAGGGAATAATTCACACAATTATAATCGAATATTACCGAAACATCCCGAAATATAAAATTGAATTTAATTTTTCAGTATCAAGTGAACGTCTACGATCCGAAAATTACAACAAAAAATACAGGTCCGTATTTAAAAATTCAAAGATGGGGGTGGCCCAAGTCAGATGACACCCTGTATAAAAGATTCATGGATATATTCTGAGAGCCCACAACAAGTGTCAATAGCAAAATGTGGACAGATTTTCAATATGTCTGCGAATAAAGAAGATATAGGCAAAAAAATAGTTTGGGGTTTTTTGGGTTTTCCTGTATATCTCCAGAACCAAAAGAGCTATATTCGATTTCTTCACATCATTAAATAGGTCACTAAAATACGCAACTTTGCCATTATTTAATCGAAACTCTATCTCTTATCGTTTACGAGATCCCCATGTTCAGAAACGAATTTGAGTAGCCCTGTATATATAAGCCCACAACTTTCTCAAAGAATATTTTTAATAAAATCATGAAATACTTAGTCACTTGTGATTTAACGTATTCTAAAAACACTTCATTGTGTGATTTTCACTAGATAGTTTTACAAAAACGCAACACGTGTTTCGCCATACAACGGCTTCCTCGGGCGTGTCTTAATAACTACTTCTACACATTAAATGCTAAATATACCTTATTCTACAATTTGAGGTACCTGAATTTCAAGTACCTGATTTTTTACCTAAGTTTGTAATGAATTTAATTACCTGAGCTTATGTTCTGTTTTCCACATTTGAAAAAATATTCAGTAACGGAGAGTTATTTAATTCTAATTGATCAGTAAATTACCCGAATTCCTGAATCTATTGATTTCTAAACATTCTAGAAGATTGAGTTTCAAACTCTTCTCTTCTAAATGTAACACATCGTATTCCTGATTGAACTCATGTCCTTCTGCTAATAGGTGGTTTGCAAATGTGGAATTGGTCTTTCTATTTATAAAACTGCTTCTATGCTCTTTAATTCTTTGGGAAAATGTTCTTCCAGTTTGGCCAATATACAGTTTTGGACAAGAGCCACAAGTCAGCTTATCCTGATCTATCCAACAACGAAGTTTTGTCTTTATTGTTCTTAATGAATTTACTTAGATTATTATTCGTTCTGTAAGCTACGTTTACGCCTTCTTTCTTCAAAAAACGGGCAATATTCCTGGTTGGTTCACCCAAATATGCCAATGTCCTATAACTGACGTTATCGCATCTTGAATATGGGTAAACCAAGTCCATGGCTTGCTTTTGAAGTTTGTTGGTATCATAGAGGATACGTTAAAAATGGTCCAGAGCATTGATATCGATTTTATTTCTGCAGGTTCCTACTATTTCCATTGATAAGACTGACGGTTGCCAGATTTACCTGAGCAACGAATCATTGGACGTCGAGATCGTCAGCTCCAAGTCTTCAGAGATGAACGTGCTGATACCGAAAGGCGATGGAGACTACAGAGAGACTCCGATCCCGGAGCAGTTCAAGACTACCATCACCAAAAACAAGACCCTCGCTACCGAGATTGTCGAAAGCAAGGGTTAGACTGGTACAACAAGAATGTCTGAACGAGTATTTGTCGCTAACAAGTTTTGCGTTGGTCGATTTTTATAGGAAAGTATTACTAATCAATTTTTTTAGTAGGGGCATAGAGAAATAAGTACTCCGCGTGGATTTTTTATGAATACTCCTTTTCAGGACGATCTTGCTTGAAACTATTATTTTCAGTATTGCGATATTTTTAGTTTTTAGGGCCATTATCAACTTGCTTTAGTTCGTCTTACACAAAAAGTTGTTAGCAGTGAATATTCCGTTAGTTTTAATTATATTTAAAATAATGATAATAATAGTAATAACTTAAGCAATTTCATACATTTGTAAATTCATACTTTTAATCGATTATTATAGCGATGTCGTTGTTGTTATACAATCTGAGAGGACGGAGAATTCGTCAGGATAGCGAGATGGGGCTCGAACTGGCTTTTGAAGGGTTTTGAGTTTGTGGTGTCAGGTGTGGGGCAGTTTGTAAGATAACAATTGGAGATAAGTGACTGGAAAATTGACAAAAAAATCTTAATTGCATGAGGAGCGTTTCATATGAACTACTTATGTTTGGGGCCCTCAGTATCCTTTTTCCTGGTCAGAAATGGTCTTTTTATGTCCATTAGTACTGCTTCACCATATATCACCTCCATGTTCGAATAATCTTTCCCAAGTCTGAAAAAACAGGGTCTTCCATTCAAAACTATTTTGTTGTACCTGTAAAACCATATGCCAATTGAATGAAACCAGGAAATTAGCAATATCCGTCCAACTGCCAAATTTTTTTCGTGGAGAGCAGTGGAGGTTCTTGTGGAGTTCGATGCGATTCTCTCTCCTTTCTTGTTAGTCGATCACCTGGTGTGGAATCATATCATTGCATTTAACTTAAATTATATTTTTGCGCCTGCTTTACTTTGTGCTATTTATTGTGAGATAACTATATTATTCCATATATCACGCTTTTAATAAAGACATTCGAAACGATTGTTTGTTTATTTTTTCCTATGAAAAAGAAAATGAGAGTAAGGAGGATCATTTGGAACAATATCAGAATAGAACAAAATGTTCGATATATGATTTTCTCAATGTTCTTGAATAAAAGCGTCAGAGAAAATGAGTTCAGCTCTTCTAGAAAAAGAACGAACAAAGTATAATTTAAATTTCAGTGATGTTAAAGCCAATTGTAACCTTTATATTCAGGTAATCAAACTTCAAGTTGCCAATATTATAAAGTCTTAATATACTCTCTAATCATTACATTACTCTATACCTAAAGAAATATAGATTAGACAGACAGTGTTATGAATTTTGACATAAATATGTCGGTTATGCAGAGTTTTATACTAAAAAGTTCTACTTTCGTGGTAGTGATTTTGTCAAAACTACATAATTAGTAAATTTGAATAATCATACCAATTTGCGTCCTGGTTCTCTTATTACAACTACATAGAATTATTGAAAAATCAGTAAAGAAATGAATGAATAAATTTGCATGATGTTTCAATTGAAAATGTATTACGTTCTATTCTGTTTTTGCCTTATATTAATGACGTTAGATGCGTTAGACGTAGAAACATCCATTGGTCCATTTTTTTAAAATATGGAGTAAAGATACATACACAATCCAAATTTGAGTTATTTTCCACTAATACAAGAAACAGATTTTGTAACGCAGACTATCAAGTCCAACTTTTAATCCAGTGAAGAATCACATCTTTATTTTTAATGGGGCTACATCATCAAACCTTTTGCCAGAAGAATTGGAGGTCTTTTTTTAATCTGGATAGCATACAAAGTATAAAGGCAGCGAGGATGACTATTTTCATAGGACATTTCTGAAAAAATTGAAGTTTTTGTTATATAAACGAATTTTCGAAATAACGTAACACTTTGGGAATTCGAATTTCTCGTTTTAATAAATTTCCACTCAGATTATTTATTAATCTAAGAAATAATAAATAGTAAATTATGACTGCCCCTGTATATGTTATCTTCGTCTGGATGTAGTAATAAATGAGGGTATTTTCCTTGGAATGTTAAGATACATTCAAATCTGAATTACTACTACTGATGGTGACTCAGTTTCGTTAACTGGAATTATGATAAATCTTAAAGTAATTTTATGATTCATTGTACCTAGTTCTCCAAAATGACGAATTTCATTAACAAATGGCAACCAGTTTATTATAATTCAACCTTACAACTACCGCATAGATGAAATCCACGTGTAAAATAGTACCTCGTTTTATATTTTTTACAATTGCTTTGTCAGTCTTTCCATAGAGGTTTATCTTAAAATGGAGTAAACTCTGTTTCTTGTTGCATAAACTTATCAAACTTCATGTAGGAATCATCCTAGAATTTCCTCTTGAACCAGTGTTGCAGTGTATTATCTTGAGATAGAGTGGTCAATGTAGTATTTCAGATACAATATAATTGTTTTCAACTCAATGAAGTTTATCTTTTTTCTAGTTACAGAGGCCAAGAAAAGTACATTTCGTTTTATTTGTCCAACAATTCAACTGCAGTTTTGCAAGAAAAAATACTTCTTCACTTATTTATCTTCCAAGTTTTCAAAGTTTCTTCGCTCCCTGTATGACGAAATTAAACATTGAGATGGAAACTTTATTAACTAATGAAGAGTTTTCATTTGTAGAGCTTTAGAGGCTCTCATCATATAAGAAGTGTTAACAAATTATAAATTCAATCTTGATCTACGTAAAAAAAAACAACGGACTGATGGAAAAACGTCTTTATTCAACCACATCCAACAACACAATTCGATCACTTACAAATGTACATCGCACAGTTGAATGAAACACCTCGGTCGTTTATAAATGAAGCTTTTATTAAATATTCAAATACTTATATAAATAATACACCTAGGTAGGTCGGTGCGTTGAGTAGACAGTCGTAAGAGAAATAAAAAAAAAGAAAGGGGGTAATGAACGCGCTACTGACGGTCAGTGGCTCGGAGTTTTTCCTCTACGGCTTCTTGACTCGCTTCCGAGAGGTCTGTCGCCTGGATGTACTTTTGAACTCCTACCAGGGATTTTTTAAGAGCGTCAAAAGAACTGAAAAAAATAAGAAAACTACTTCAGCACAAGTTTGAGCCCTGAAATCATCGATATTCATAAAGATGTTGGAACCCCCGTCTCAGGACAAGTATGCCCCAAGGTCCAGTTCCAAGATCCCTTTGTGTATGCAGATGTGTTATCCATTACATCTTAGAAACGATTCAGTTCGTAAATAAGGCGTAGTAAAGGTTTATTAATGTTGATAATTGTCATTGATATTCTAATATATCATTGATAATCGGTCATTATCAATGATATATTAGAAAAACCGCAGATACGTAATTTCCAGAGCTACAGATCATCCAAATAGTTCTGATTTTTAAATGTAGCAGGCAAAATTAGTGACTGATTATTGTACAAAGAGTGAAGCCGCGTTAGTAAAACGTGGCCAATGACAAACAACTGCATGTCGTGAGTAGTTCTAATGAAAAACTACTGGAAGAGTAGTAGTTCTAATGAAAGCTACTGGAAGAGTAGTAGTTTTAATGAAAACTACTGGAAGACTAGTAGTTTTAATGAAAACTACTGGAAGAGTAGTAGTTTTAATGAAAACTACTGGAAGAGTAGTAGTTTTAATGAAAACTACAGGGTAAATAGTACTTCTGATGAAAGACTACTGGGCGAATAGTAGTTCTAATGAAAGCAACTAGACGAGTAGTAGTTCTAAGGAAATACTACAGAAAAAAGTAGCAGTTCTAATGAAAAACTACTGGACGAGTGGTAGTTCAAATGAAAAACTACTGGACGAGTGGTAGTTCTAGTGAAGAACTACTGGAAGGGTAGTAGTTCTAATGAAAAACATTCAGGAGAGCGGTAACTACTGGGCGAGTAGTAGTTCTAATGAAAAACATTCAGGAGAGCGGTAACTACTGGACGAGTAGTAGTTCTAATGAAAAACTACTGGAAGCGAAGTAGTTCTAACGAAAAACTTTCAGGAAAGAGGTAAGAGGTAGTTTTAATGAAAATACTGGGTGAGTAGTAGAAGAGTAGTAATTCTAATGAAAAACTTTCAAGAGAGCAGTAGTTTTAATGAAACATTTTTTGCACGAGCAGTTCCAACAAAAACTACTGGAAGAGTCGTAGTTTAAAACGTTCAAAAGAGCGGTATTTTTGATGAAAAGCTTCCAGTAGAGCGGTAGTTTTAATGAAAAACTTCCAGGCGAGCGGTAGTTTCAATGAAAACTACAGGGTGAATAGTACTTCTGATGAAAAACTACTGAAAGAATAGTGGTTCTAATGAAAAACTTCCAGGCGAGCGGTAGTTCTAATGAAAACTACTCGACGAGTAGTAGTTCTAAAGAAATACTACTGAAAAAGTAGCAGTTCTGATGAAAAACTACTGGACGAGTGGTAGCTCTAATGAAAAACTACTGGAAGATTCGTAGTTCTAACGAAAAAATTTCAGGAAAACGGTAGTTTTAATGAAAACTACTGAAAGAGTAGTAGTTCCAATGAAAAATTGCTAGATGAAAACTATTTCTGATAAAAGACTACTGAACGAATAATACTTCTACATAAAACTAATTGATGAAGAAGTGGATTTATGGAAAACTGGATGATAGTCATTCTAACAAAAGAAATACTGAACGAGTAGTAGTTCTAACGAAAAACTACTGGATGAAGAGTACACTTTCAATGAAAAAATTTGAAATATCTAGTAACATTTGTCAAAATTCGCAAGTTTATTATTGGCGGGGGGAAGCTGCACCAAATGAATACAGATGTAATGAAGGATCAGGATTTACCAGATAAAATAAAAGGCATATTTTCTACAGAGAAGCCCGAGATTTTAGACAGATATCCCTTTAACCATACTATAAAAATAGTTTCAACTTGGCATGAAAAATCATCCAAATAAGCCAAATATGTTATGAATTCCCAAATCATTTCGTAACAAATTCCCAATTGAATTAGATGACAAATAATGTCATTATCTAATCAGTTTCAGTTAGTTTGCGTTTTGTTGAAGTCAACTGATTTTATAGTTCTTTGAAAGTGAAAAATTGCCTTGAAAACAATGCAGAATATATGAAAAAACTGGAAAGAAAACTATCAACTTTATGGCTGTGATTATAGAAAATAGATGGCAAAAGAAAAGAATAAAATATAACCAAGATTATGAAAGCACAGAAGATAGGTTTGCTAGATCAAGCAAAGAGTGATGGTAAAATAAGTGGGTTTTCAGCCCTAGGATCTAATGGCCTGCGTGACATGTTTTATTATAACATTGAGAGGAAATATTAAAATCATCGGAAAGTAAAAAAATAATAAATACCTAGAGTACAACATCTTTTTCTTGACATGAGCGGTATCGGGGCACCACAGCATCAAGAAGAGTTTCTGTTTCTTGGACGATTCCGACGTCCCCTGACATTGGTGCATGTATTCGAAATCGAAACAATAAAAAAATCGCTAATAAAAAATCCCGATTTTCGACTAAGAAAAAATATCGTAGTATTCTCTGAAACTTTAATAAACATTTCAAATTTTTTCCCAAGGTAGACCTTCTAGTACTTGACATTAAAAAAAAAATATTAAAATCGATTTACAACTTCAAATTTTAGGGGGATGTTTCCATTAAAAATGGGCGACACTGAATATAAATATACAAATAAAGGTACAAATACACGTACAAATGCAACGGATTACCTGACAAGGCATAAATACCCTTTACGAAGCCTAAAAGTTTCTCATCGGACAGCAAGTCATGATGGTTAAACCTCTGAAGAAGCCAGCCACTCGCGCCAGCGAAACGTCAGGAAGAAATTCCAAAAATCCACGGCTTTCAAACTCTAAAAGTAACGACTCTGAAAACCTCAGCCGTGAAAGTCTAAACCATTTTGTTAACAAGGGATACTCCAATGAAGTTTCTGTATATAAAAGATCCTACCTTTTTTTCGATCAGGAATCACCTCCTTAAATGTTTTACACTTATTCAGTTACACCCTGTATATCTACACTATTCGATATAATACTCTGATTTATTCGAGAACCAATTAATACCTCGTTCTGTTGCAGGCAAAGGGGCCGCCAAAGGAGTCCCCCCTCCACCGCCGGGCTGCCCCCCTCCCCCGCCCGTGATCGACTTCTCGAACGACGGAGGCGCAGGCGACGCGAGCCACGATCGCTCCGCCCTCTTCGCGGAAATCAACAAGGGCCAAGACATCACCAAGTCCCTGAAGAAGGTGACTTCGGACATGCAGACGCACAAGAACCCTACATTGCGCCAGGGGCCGGCGCCCTTCAAGCCCGCTTCGCAGGCCTCCGCCCCAGTGGTGTCCCCCGTGCAGCCCGCCAAGCCGCCGACCTTCACGAGGGACGGCAAGAAGTGGCTCGTCGAGTACCAGAAGGGCAAGCACGACCTGTTGGTCGACGGTGCCGAGATGAACAATGTCGTTTATTTGTTCAAGTGCGAGAATTCCACGATCACCGTTAAAGGGAAGATCAATTCCATTACGCTCGACTCGTGCAAGAAGACTTCGGTTGTGTTCGATTCGCTCGTCTCTTCGATGGAGTTCATCAACTGTCAGTCGGTGCAGATGCAGGTTTTGGGCAAGGTATGTAGCGGGATGAAGGGATCATGGTTCGTTCTTTCGGCTTCATTCGTATCTCTCATTTAACAGTTGGGCTGAAAAGTTGGCAGACTAACATTTTTTTTTTATAAAATTCATATTTAATCATCGGAAAAATGGAAATTTTAATAAATATGAAGAATTTTGTTATTTGAGAGATAAGTGCAAAGCTTTGAGAAACACTTGCCATCATCATCATGTTCCTACACTTGAACATTTCAGACACACATACCCTGTATGGTATACGAGTGATATACGAATTGTCAAAGAAAAGGCCAAAGTACACAATAAGTACAAAAAAACTAGAAGTAATATATTTTTTGAGGAATTTAAACGTTTGAGACTTAATTTTAAACAAAAAAGTAAAGAAGCATATCAAAACTACACACATCGGAAAAATCTAGGGATATTTTTATAACATACTAAATATCATAAAAATAAATGCATGAGGTCGTTTAATTTCGAAGTTTGTAATGAATTTAATTACCTGAGCTTATGTTCCATTTTCCACATTTGAAAAAATATTCAGTAACGGAGAGTTATTTAATTATAATTGATCTTCTAAATGTAACACATGCTAATAGGTGGTTTGCAAATGTGGAATTGGTCTTTCTATTTATAAAACTGCTTCTATGCTCTTTAATTCTTTGGGAAAGTGTTCTTCCAGTTTGGCCAATATACAGTTTTGGACAAGAGCCACAAGTCAGCTTATCCTGATCTATCCAACAACGAAGTTTCGTCTTTATTGTTCTTAATGAATTTACTTAGATTATTATTCGTTCTGTAAGCTACGTTTACGCCTTCTTTCTTCAAAAAACGGACAATATTCCTGGTTGGTTCACCCAAATATGCCAATGTCCTATAACTGACGTTATCGCATCTTGAATATGGGTAGACCAAGTCCATGGCTTGCTTTTGAAGTTATTTGATAAGAATGGCGTTAATAATATCTACTTTGTAACCGTTATTAACCGCGATTTGTTTGATCAAATTCAGCTCTTTCTGGAACCCCCTATCAGACAGTGGAATATTCAATAATCTGTGAAGCATACTATTGAATGCAGCAACTTTATGCTGGTAACGGTGTGTGGCGGAATTATGTATGATAATGTATGTGTACGATGGTTTGTGGAACATTGCAAATTCATGTTTATTATTATTATTCGTAATGGTTAAGTCCAGGTAATTTATTGAATTATTTACATACTAAGATATCATCTACGTATCTGTACCAGTACAAAAAACTGTTAGCTAACTGATTATTATGGAGTTCATACTCTATGTTATCCATGAAAATTTCCGCCAGCAAGGGACTCAAAGGGTTCCCCATTATTCGTCCTTCATTGCATGAATAGAATTTTCCGTCAAACTGGAAATAATTTTGAGATAGACAAATGGTGAGTAAATCTACAATTTCCTGTTTCATCAGTGGATTCCCGTGGTTTTTGTCTAAGAGACACTCAACTAGTCCAATTGTTTCAATTGGCGGAATACTGGGAAATAAATTTTGGACATCAAACGATATTAATTTTGCGTCATCCGGAAGAATTACGTTTTTAATATTATCCACTAATTGATAAGAATTATTTATACTGAATTTTGGCTTGATATTGGTATAGTTTTGAATCAATTTAATCAAGATTTTTGAGATTTTTACGGTAGGTGCCGTTACAAACGACACCACTGGTCTAATCGGGAAATTGGTTTTGTGTAACTTAATAAGGGAATACAGTTTTGGTGGTTGTGGATTCATGATTCATCAAGTATCGGCCGATTCCATCATATATCACTTGTGATTTTTTTTACAACATTTGGCAGCTTATTAAAGCACGTAACAACATCACACTGAGAGGATTCTTTTACAGTTTTTCATTCGATAATGTGGGATTTTTTAAAAGATCACCATTTCTGGTATTAGGTTAGTGTTCTGAAGCAGTCCTTTATAATTTTCACTCAACCCCGTATTATATGCGATGTCCACGGTACATCCGGTACACGCTATCGGCGCCTGAAAGCAATCGAATGGCGTTCGTCAAACAAAATACCACCGCAAGCCTCAAGCGCGTGCTGTTTTCTCTCTACGTCTATCTCGTTTCCTGTCCAAGCGAGCACACCGGAAGTCGACGAGCGTTTCGATAATTCACGATCAATCTAACGTTATGATGACGATAAGTAATAGGCCATCTACTTTGTTTTCGCGTCCCAAGAATTTATGATTCATGACCTGTTGGACAGAAGTGAAAGGAATCGCGCAGACCTACCCAATGCGATGTTATAACAATGAACTATACAAGTTCTAATGAAAAACAAGTGCATAACGAGTAGTTCTGATGTGAAAACATATTGAATGAAGCGTAATTTTAATGAAGAAGCTACCGCATGAAGAATAGTTCTAATACAAAACAACTGAATGAGAAGTAGTTCTAATGCAAACTATTGAACGAGTAGTAGTTCTAGTGAAAAACTCTACTGGATGGCGAAAAAATTACGTGGCGAGAATTAACTCTTTTGAAAACTTGGGAACAAGTAGTACTACTAGTAAAAACTAGTGGAAGACGCATAGTTCTAAAGAAACACTAATAGATGGGTAGTATCAAAAGTTTTGTCCGTTTTAATGTCCAGTGTTTTTGTAACTTCATCTAATATATAAAATTCTATATGGAATTTTATCCGTATATTCGGTAGGTCTGAGAATAGGTTTCAATCTAATTGATAAGGGTGTTCCACCACAAACATTTCTTTTTTATTTTTTTGAATAAACTCTGTTTAAAATTTTTATGATGTGGTATTGAAAAGTACATATAACCCTCAATTGTTACCCTTCTATCACCAACCTCTAAAGCCATTTTAGTAATTTATTAATTTTCAACTCTGATCAATTACCGCCAAGCGATGCGATGCCACCGAAGCTATAAATTATCCAACAAAGTTTTTGAACTCTGGATTTGCCAGACGTGCCACTGCATAACTTACAACTGAAGGTTGGATCGCTCCTTAATTTGAATCCATCACGGCTGTGCAACGGCACGCGATTAGTCATCAAAAAATCATTGAAAAACATTGCCAAAGCCAGCATTTTTAATGACAAGTTCCGAGGTGAAAATATATTAATACCACAAATCTCTATTATACCTACAGACGTGTACAATTTCCAATTAGATTGGCATTTGCAATGACCATTGACGAGTCTCAAGGCCAAACAATGTACGTTTGTTACTTGGATTTGAGCACGCCATATTCCTCAGATGGACAGGTATTTGGCAATGATGGTGTTAAAGAACGCACTGTTCGCAAACTCGTAAAAACGACAAACTTTTGAAACAATCTAAACAGTTCAAATGAAAAGCATCCGGATGAGTAGTTCTAATAAAAACTACTATATGAAAAATAGCTGTAGTGGAAACTACTGAACATGTAATGAGTGATTTTTTTGAAATCTATAGCCGCTTCCCCCACCGATGAAAAGGTATATATTATATAACATTTTTTTCTTCTTATCATATAAGCTTTGCAACCTAATATGTCTCAATGGCGCTCCAGTAAAACCCCATTTTGCAACGTGGGCTCCCCTGCTATAACGGAGAAATACTATAAGGAATTTGGTTGACGTAACCTGTTTGAAACTTTTGCAAACAAACTATTAAAATATTTTTGGGAGAAGAATATGAAATTTGAATTTTCTCTGTGGACACATAAGTCAATATTGGTGCAACATCTATTGAATTGATTTATTAATAGTGTGTTAGCAATTCTCATTGGTTTTTTCTAAGTTCTTTTTTCTATTACTATCAGCCATATGCCCAAATAATTTTGTTTAATTGCCTATAGTACAGGTCCATAATAGTAGGCATTAAATTCCCAGAAATAGTATTGCGTTGAAACAAAAACATTGTTGTCAAAGTTGTGTTTCTATATTCATTTTCCTCATCTGTTTAGTATAATTTCTGTACGCCACTGCAAGAGATAGATTAAGGCAAAAACGTCAGTCATTTCTGAGAATTTAGTGCCTATTATGGAATTATACTATACAGGATTGCTTACATTAACAATATTTTTACGTTTTGTTTTTTCCAGCATCAAAACGTATTTTCGATAATCAATGCCTTTTCCAATTTCAAATCTGCCCAAAAAGTTATTAAATATATATTATTGCACAAAAACTCCTCAAATTTCGAGTCCAACTCATTTTGAAAATGACATTAGGTATATTAGATATACTTGAGGTCCATTCATTTTGACAATACGGAATCTAACTTATACCTGAGCTATTTGTATGTTTGGCAGACTATCTTAGAAACAGTCCTTATTATTATAACTTTTTTCTATCAAGTATAACGTTTTTAAACTGATAATATACATATTCATTCTGATAGGAACTTTAGGTTCCCTCAGTAAATAAGATAATCTTTTTCCCAACCACATGAATGAGTAAACATATCATTCTCTCTGATAACATGTCTATTCATTAAACAAATACTTAGAAATTTCACATTGTTGCCCGTCTTGAAACATATGAAATGTTATAGACTGACAATGAACAGAGGCAATAAAAATGCTTCTGTTATGAATTCCACTGAAATCAATCAACTGAAAATGTGGAATGTTTCTGAATGTAGAAAAGGATTTTTGTTTCCAAAATGTTGGGAAAATTATTATTCTAAGTATTTTTAAAACACTTCATCTCCTGGTCGAGGTACTCCCAAGAAATTTCAGTTTATGGAAAATGAAACTGCTCAAAAAATGTCACAAAAAGTATACTGACTCCGTGATAATCCTTCAATTTACTTGATAATCTGTAATGTGCTGTATTGAACCACAACAATTACGGACGTTACTATAATTTTTTCCAACTAGTCCTCAATAAATTCTTTTTGAGGTACACAAAAGGTTCATCAATACCCAAATATTAAGTAGGTATCCAAAACAAGAACTGTTCTCAAACGCCAGAACTGGAACACTATTTTCGACACGTGTTTCCTCAACCAATTTGGCATCATCAGGAGATGAACTACATTGTTTGGGAGCAATACTTCCACTTTCCTGTCTTATTATGTAATTTTCATTTTCTCTTGTGATTACTCTGAAAACCTGCTGTGTCTTTTCACTTCATTTATGACAGACCTGTCCCTAAAAAGGCTCATTGCACTAATAAAACCCTAATATGTTGCATTCAGTTTAATAAATGCAGAAATATAGATATCTGCAATCATCACAAAGAGATTCGATAAACTACAAGAGAGTGTTGAGCCTTGTTATTAAAATTAATTATCGATCATTATGAACAGCCTTTGAATGGTCTGATAAACACTTGAAGAATGTATACCAAGAATTATGAATCACTAATATACTAATATATTAACAGCAACTACCAGGAAATATATTCGCTGATTGTTTGTTATCACCAAAATACTTTTTGTGGCATTCTTATCATTTCAATATTATGAACAATTATCTTTGTAAATTAGGAGATTAAAGTGGGGAAGTTTCTTGCCTTATATGGTTATATCTATTAATAACGTGATTTTCAGCTTTTCACGCCAGCGGAGGCCGTTTATTTTTACGAAAAAAACCGTTCAGTGACACAGGAGTGTTTCCGAAAAACAACTCGTAGCTTTGTTGTAAAATTTCGAATTTGGCAGGCTATCGGGTGACACATCCATATAAATCCACGTTCCAAGCTGAATAAAATAGACGAGCGCAACGAAGAAATAATTACACTAGAGTATGCAACCTTGGGGCATTCAAGAATGAGTCATAGTCCCAGCAGGCCTTACGTTTGTCGAGGAACTATTTTCCTCAGAAAAATCTACACCCCACATTCCCCCTTGAATTTTAACCATATATTCCCAACCCTGCCACTGAAATTATCTTCAAGACCCAAAACTGTCTGCCCAGGCACAGAAACTTATCGTAAAAACCAACCCAGCCTGCTTGGCAAATATATGCTAATAATTCTGAAATATGGCGACCGGCTTGCCTCCCGGTGGGTGTCAAATGCAAGCACGATACTCGGAAAGCGGTGCATTACAGAAATATTCTAGTCAAAACAAAGCCACACTCACCATATTGAATTAATCCTCAAGCACTAAACTTTTACAATACCGAACTACCAGTTTCACTGAATAAATAAGACTGTTCTTTGGTGGAGGTCTGAAGCGGACGTTGGCCTACCGGTAGCTGACAATGCGCAAGTGCGAATCCAAAATCCAAGTGTTACTACGCCTATCTGAGACTTTGCTCTTCTTTTTATTTCGCGTATACTCAACCAAGAAGTATATCACAGTAATGAAGATCTACGAAAAACACCTTCCAACACTGAATTCACTCCAAAAGTTCCTCGAGCGCCGACTATTTGCTGATTCAAAATTCAAATTCGGGTTTACTTTTTGCCGCGTATGCAGTGCGCGATTTTTAAAATTCAGAAATTCTCAGCTTGTTTGAAAGTATAATGATGTTTTCCGATAATAACAGTGGACTTTTATACGTTTGAGGTGTTTACCTGGTATCTTGTCAGTTCATTTGATCAAATTCGTAGTCATAGCGACGCGAAAATTGAGTTTAAATGCCTGAAAAGTCGGCTCGAAATTTCAACCAATGTTGAAGCGGGATTCTCCTAAATGTCCATAAAAGGTAAAGCGAGGAGTCATCTCAACATGGCTGCTACGATTTGAAAGTTATGCCACGCCCTCCAGTAATCGATTTCCTGAAAAACGATCTGAGAAGATATTATCAGAGATATGTTTATTTCAAATTCCAAGTATGGAATTGTGATATGCTTGTCTTGGTGCAAATTGCAAATAGAACAATTAATCTATCACATTAGTAAGGCCTTGCCTTATAAGGTTGATAGTTTTAAGGGGGTTTTTGGCCATCCAATCATAATGAATTGACTGATCAGTTCACATCTTGGAGATTGGATTGTCAATTTTTTTCTTGCGGTAGAATAGCCTCCCTCGAAAACAATCATTCTTTCAGTTTCATGCCAAATCACAAACAATATAAAGCTCAATTCACATGTTTCTATGGAAATTTTTCATGGATCTTAGTTGACAGGTAAGTATATAAATCATTATTTGAGTTAAGAACCAAATTCAGTTATTGAAAAAATTAAAACCCACTATAACAATATTTTGAAAAATAATTATATATGAATTTATGTAGTTACATCCAGGTCAGATTAAATATTTCGTTATTAGAAAAATTTGTAATTATTGATTCAACCAATTACATATTTTCGCTTTAAAAATGTCATCCCACTAACGATGTGAATATTTGAAACTACATTTTAAAACATATTTCAATAAAGTTACGACAAAATTCACCGATAAATGGATCCGATAGATGCGTCTATAAGTCCATTGGAAACGTAAGGGTGTTTCTATTGGTTGGATCAATCCATAAGAAAATTACTGTTGCTGTGTAATTACCAATGAAACTTAAATGGTTCAATACAAATTTGAAAATGCCGAACTTTTAAACTTGCCAAAAATATACCTCTAGGACTAATTCTCATTGTAAGTGACGTCATATTTAAATATCCGCAAAAATCAACATATGTCCTAGAATGTCAAATTGAGTCATTTTGACGTCACTTTTTTGTGGAAAAAATTTTCCATGACAAAAAAAATTAGGTACTTCAATAGGATATTACGATAAAAGTAAGGATATATTATATTATAAAATCTACGGTTAGACCCCTACTGGCGTTATCTGATAGACAAATGGATCCTTACTATCTTTGTTTCAAATTTTCACAGAGAGGGCGTTTCAGTTGTCAAAATTTAAGGATCACATGCTTTGTAAGGATTGCTTTTATTTTGACAAGGAAGTAGAAATTTGGAGTAATTGTTTCATCATTATTGGTGATTCATCATTATCGATTATCTACTATAATTGTAGTATGTAACTGTTTTTCTAAATGTTCTAAAGGAGAAAGTTATTTGAATTCAAAATCAAATCAAGTTATAGTCTCTCTTCGATTTTGAATATTCCAGAGAAGATAAGAGTTTGGAAAAATTATTTTCACAGATGGAGATATCCGAGGGCTACATCAATTGAATGAAACAATAAATTCAATATTGGTGGAACTTTTCGTTATCCTATTCATATGCCGGTTAAACACTAAAAATAAATATCATTAGATAATTGTACTCTATTTGAAATAATTCACGGATTTTCATGTGACTTAACATAAATTTTGAGGTTCCGAGTTGATTTTACAGGAAAAAACTTTTTTTTCTATCTCTTCTTTCAAATTGTTTGAAAAAAAAGTTAAAAATATGTTTTTCCGTTAACCAGCTATCGCAACCCGACGAATGACAACCCTCTGAAGTCAAAACTTGTGCGAGCTAACTACTAACGAGGTTTCACCTTTTAACATGTGATTCCATAATTTGGCTTCTGGATAACCTTTCTTTAAAATTTCATTATAACTTACGGCACGGCATTATGATTCATGTTCTGTGAGGAAAATATTCTACAATTGAGAGCACTGGTGTGTTTTGCATAATCATATTTACCTGCATCCGCACGAGCAGCATCGACTTCAGGAACAGTAGCTTCCACTATCACAGTAGCTTTCTGAATCAAATAAGGCAATTCTTGTTTTCTCATTTTTAAGAAGCTTCAAATATCATTAAAAATTGGTTGAAATATTTTCAACGTCCACTTTGACCCACTTCTTAGATGGGTCGTTTTGAGCTTGCCGTGAGAGAAAGTAATGACGTCATGAATGACGTTACCGCCGCGGTCGTTATGTGGAACGGCTAAAAGCCATCTTGATCATTGTGAGCGCTTAGTGGAACGCACGGCAAGTAATGTCACTCGAGGTGTACTAACCCCCTCTGTGAATGAAATGCTGAAATTGATTGGATCGCTTTATTACTTCTTCAAGAGTGCAGTTCAAAACTGTTCTTGTTTCTTATTGAAAGTGAAAAATACACAAGAAAAACTATTCGCGGGATTTTGAAAATCCGGGCAGAAAACTCATTCTCCTTTGAAATCCATTTGCGATATGTTGATAGGGATGCTCCAACTCAGATTTAGTTTTTGGTATTCTACAAATTCTCCTTACCTTTGGTGATAGTAAAATCATATTTTGAACTAAACCGAAGGCGCTTGACGTCGTCCAGTATAAAACAAGGCACTACAAAATATTTCATTAATATCTTTCGATACTGAGATATTCAAAATGCTGATTATTACCGAAGGTACAGACGCTGCTATTGGAACCATGAGAATACTTAGCCCTCTGAAGAAATTTGTCAGAATTTTCTGCAATTTTGAAGGATCACTGACTTTTGACAAGACTTGAAGCTACAAAGAAAAATTGAGTAATACCAACAAATTGGGGTCATTTTCAGGCAATGCATGAACGATACTACATCAAACACACAGATATCTTGCCTCAATTATCGTCAAATTCAGCAATCCCAAAGCAATCGGAAGTATACCGGAAGCATCAACTTCCGTCAGATTTGGAATGAAACCAAGCCCTCCAATCGTCAACTCAGTGAAAGTCAACTTTGCATCAAAGTCTTGGTTAGGCAACATATATACTAAATTTCTCAGAGCCACAGACAGCGATATCCACATCGGAATTTGAAACCACAGCAAAAGACTGGCTTTGAACGGATGACAGTTATCTCTGACTATCAGCTTGTTCCACTGTTTGCGAATCTAAAAAAACAAGAAATGTTTTTTGTTGCTCAACTGCATGTATGAAACCTTCGTCTAAGAGAAAGATTGTTGACTAGTAACAGCTCCATCTCATGATCAAAGCCCCAAGCTTTGATTTTTGTCAAAGTACAGTTACATGGGAAGTTTCCTCATTGCTTGGGGCATACATGAAATGTGATATAAATCAACTAATTTAAAGAAAATATACACACCGAACTGTTGAAAGTTAGTCTAGCTTTCTTTTCATCCCAGTTGTACAGTTTGATAGCTACAGCAGTCTCCATTTGAAGTTCTTTGGCAATGGCAGGCATTTCAAGTTTTAAATTCTCAAGCTTTGCTAAAATATAGTACTGGTAAACAGCCAGGGGGACGGTAACACAAGTTCTCAATAGAATAGTTGTGCCAATTATTGTACCCCACCATGGCAATCCGGAACTGTCGTGTAGTGTCAAGAGAAGCTTCTGAATACATTCTACAGGAGTGCTCTCCGACAACCACTTGAAGATTCCTGTTTGGGTTTTGGCGAAAGATTCGATAGATGTTTGGACTGAAAAATTCCTGCGCTGGTTGGGACTGTTCCGTTCTGTATAGCTAACAGCAGAAAGAGGTTTATAATTTTTGAAAATGAAAGGCGAACTGTATTCGAGGTTATATAACCCGAACCCTTGTTTAGGTAATCTGACGTATCGTATCATACTCATCGATCATTTCGAATTGATATCATTATGAGCATATAAAACCAAAACCTTCCCTGAAATATATATTCTCCAGTTTACATGTTTACAATTTTCAAACTCCAACCTAAAAATATTCAACTTGCAAATTATGGCATTTTCCATTGGTTAAACTGGAGCGCACATTTACTGTATTTTTATTCTCTATCCTTTATTGATGTATCAACAAATAAAGAAAAGAGATACACAAATTTGCACTGGTTTTACAATTGAAAAACGTAGATCATGCACAGAACACAAAAATGTTTCTGTAATCTACAAATAAATGAGCACTATTGACGTTTAAATTTTAGATGAAGATTAGATCTCAAATTCCGAATGATTCGCATATCTGCGAATATTTCGACAAGAAATACCATGTGTATACGTATGGGTATGTATTCCCAAAGGTTTATCTAGTTCCTCAGAACTGAATATCCGAAGCTCATCATAAAAAAACAAAGTAAAAAAAACTGACATCTTCTTGATTGCTCACACTATACAATTTTCCTACTCAATTCATCAGAGGCACTAAAGATAATACACCGTGAGGAGATTTCAACAAACGGTCTAGTTCAATTTTCCATCTTACACGAATTATGACATGATTAACAACGATTAAGTATTATCTTTCCAGTAATAAATTATTTCCGTCAACAGTACTTCCACCATTGCTTCCACTACGGAATATGTAATATTTCGTAGAAAAGTCAATACAAAGTGTCACTTCGACAAATCTTTGCTTTCCTTTAGTTATGAACCGCCACCTTGCGACAAATATCCCCCAAATTGGAACTGGATAATAAACTGTGTGGCTCCTACTGTGTTGTAGTCAAACCCAGAAATTTAAATATAAAGAAAAAATGTATGTGACTCCTGTGACGGAATTTTTATTATAACGAGTTGAAAACCTTTACGCTACGCTCAAATTTTGAAACACTCCATTCACCAAATCGATATAGAAATTCAAAATGTTCATGAATATGATTGATTTTGTTGAAATGAATTAGAACGAATTAGTATTTATCATCAGTAATAATTTAAGATACCGGTGAATACGATTCGGTAGATTAGCCATAACTTTTTTTGAATGTTTTTCAATGTTTTTTTTTCATACTTTGCTGGAAATTCGACTACTTTATTCTGAATACACAGGGAACGTATTTGAAATACTTAAATGTTTGGAAACGTATAAATGAAAGCCCTTTGATTGTATATAGTTTATTTTTACGTGATGACGAAATCTGCATAAAGGTTTGTGAAAGTTTGGAGGACCAGTATTTTTTTGTCCATTTTTTTGAACCAGTATAAAATCAGTGATAAAGCTGGACAATTTATGAAATCGGACCAACAGTAAATTAAGTTCTTCCTAATCATTGAAGTAACTAATGATTGTAATAACGTATGAATAATTTTGTGAATAAACTATTTTACTGTTGACCTATATTCTCCATCAAAACAAACGTTACACCCACCATGGGTATAAACTTTTCGACGTATAGTTTCTTAAAAAACGTTACCGGATATGTAACTGGTAAGGTAACTGGTAAGAAAAGGAGGCACTCCGAATCAGATGAAGAACAAAATGATAAGGTTGTTGATGTTGTTCTGCATACCCCTAAAAGGTTAGTATAAACAAATAGAGTAAACCCAACATCCAATATTGAGTCTGCAAATCTTTCAGGAAAAAACTTGAAAGCACTGCTAATTACATTTACCAAGCTCTCTTCGTCACGGGTACAAATTCAGATGTGACAGTTCGTGCTCTAGGTGAAGAGTTCCGTTTGCACAAGGTGTACCTGAGCCAGAGTCCCTACTTTGCCAGTATGTTTGGTGGGTCTTGGCTAGAAACAACTAAAAAATATATCACCATAGATATTGTCGATCCTACTATAACACAATCTTGTGAGTACTGTTCAAATTTATCAAATGCTAGCTCATCTCCTTAATATTTTCCATTTATCCTTGAAATTTGTTATTTTTTCTATCTCACTCTCACCTTCACTGCACACTTATATGGGGAGACTCAACACACAGCAAAAGAAGGCTCTGAGAACACTGGACGGACCGACTATCATGCTCATTGCCAGCCATTTTGCAAGAAATACAAAATATTACCAGTTCTCTATATTTATATTCGCTAGACTCTCATTGCAATATTCAATATTATTAATTTGTCAACCGATTTGGACTCGCACAATCATGCTACCAGATTTTTGAATGAACTCAGATTTCTAAAATTTGAACTGTTTTTCTGAAAAAGACGTGCTGAGTATAAAACTTAACCTACCGAAGTGAAATTATTGAAATTTCATCTGTTTGAAAAATGTACCAAAAACTACCTCCTACTATATTTTAAAGATGTTACTCGCACCAAACACCATGTGAATACCAATTAAGAATAGTATAACTCGTGTCTTTTTCTGACTGTTTCCAATATTTTTCAACAGTGTCTACAGTAATTCTATGTGAATTGTCAACTATGTACTATGTTAGCTAGCATTTTGTCTATTATCATGTTTTTTAATTCTCAATAGATTTAATCAACCTCTGGTAGTTTATCCAACCGCAAAGTGGTTAAATGAATAATTCTAACTCAGAATCTTTCAATTAGTTCCTAACTTTTTTTTTATTTTGGTAACTAAAACTATTTTTCCCTGCTTGGAGCTTTGTTCACGAGATAGAGCTGTTATTAGTTAAGTCTCTCTCTCTCTTAGATGAAGGTTTCTTACATGCAGTTGATCTGCGTTGAAATTAATCGTGTCTCAGGCAGTTTGCTGTTTGAGTCGGATCTTTCCTGCACTGATGTGATCCCGTAAAATAAATACAATTATTTCTGTTCTTTTTTAAGCAGCAACTGTTGTTTTCAGCTTTGAAAGTGGTGCTAGGATCATTGTATAACTTTGAAATAAGCCTGAACCCCAAGGAAATTATTCCTATTTTGGCCACAGCTACTATGTTCCAGTTGGACGGCTTGATCGACAAGTGCGCAGAAGTCATGCAGGAAACAATAAATCCCAAGGTATCACCCACTTAGTTAACAAAAAAAGGTATTTTTAAGATTGCTAATGATTCTATTCTCAGACGGCGCTGGATTATTACAACGCAGCCAGTCAGTACAGCAACAAGAAAGTCCGGGATGTATGTTTCAAATGGTTCCTGATGAATTTGATGACCTACTACCACAACAAATCTCTGTCCGAACTCAGAACCATTCCGATATCTCTCCTAAGCAAATTAGTGGCCCATCCCGATCTGGTTGTTATCCAAACAGATTATTCCGTTTATGTTATGTTGAAGTTCTGGGTGTATCTGCAATTATTTCCAGAAGGCAATGTGCCTTCCTTAAAAACCGTCAATGAGTACTTCTCTTCTAGGCCAGGTGAGACACTTGAAGTTTTCTTGTATTTTAATATTCATATGTGTTGTAGTGTTGACCTAGTTAAACTACTAAATTCATGTTTTTGAAAAAATATTAGACGTTTCTGGAAAACGCAAAGCATGATTTTTCTGAAAACTTCACCTCTCACATTTCCTCACCTGTTCTATCGATCTAAAATATTTTCAGCATTGCGGCGTTGCCACTTCTAACAAAAATACTAGCAATTATTTTTTTTTAAATGGAACACCCCGTATATTAATACATTTTGGGAATCGCTCTAGTATTTTATTACTTTTTTGTTAATAATGTCCTATACCTATCTCTATCTGTTTTCGAGATAAAAAATAAATTGTGCTAAATATGGTCCAAAACAAAGCCTTAATTGAAATTAAGTA